ACTTATCGATTGATCCATCAACCTTGCACTTAATTTTTAAAACCCATTTGTCGCCAATGATCTTGTGCCCAGGTGGACGGTTAACCAACTCCTAAACTTGATTCCGAGTCATAGAACTCATTTCATCTTTTATAGCAGCTATCCACTCATTAGTATTAGGTGAAACTAAAGCTTCCTCATAGGAAGCAGGCTCATCAAGATCCAACGGAGTACACATGAAAGATTCCCCCTCAATCTCATAACGACGATGAAAAATGGTTCCATTTTCACTTGTACGTAATTAGTATCCTAGTGAGTCATTTTCTAGTGGAACCCTCCCACTAGGAGGTAAATCACTCCCGCTATCTTTGGTGATTTCAAGATAAGTCTCTAATTCTCCACCCTCGCCAAAAGATGGTGTGATTTCCTCAGAATCCTCCAACTCAAATAGTGTAAGATCTTTCTTTACTTCACCAATACTAGGAAATTAATTTTCAATGAAATTGACATCTCACGACTCATTTTCAATCATTCCAGGATGTAGGCAATAGTCAAAAAGAGCATTCCCCAAAAAGATATAGGGAGGTTGACTTGCGCCATCATCGATCTAACCATTTCAAGTAAAGTGTGATTCCGTCTCTCTACTACACCTTTTTGTTGCAGAGTCCTTGGAATCGTTAATTGCCTGTGTATTTTCTTTTCCTCACACAGTCCCTGAAACTGATGTGATAAATACTCACGCCCTCGATTTGTTTGAAGGATTTTCAATTTCCTGTCTATTTGATTCTCAACTAGTGCAACAAAGCGCTTGAAGCAATCCAATGCCTCAAAGCGATGTGAGATCAAATAGACATAATTGAATTGTGAGTAATCATCAATAAATGTAAGGAAATAAGAAGCACCATTGCGTGCCTTTACATTCATAGGTCTGCAAATGTCAAAGTGAATTAACTCTAGAGGATATAAAGCCCTAGGTGCCTTTCCAAAGGACCTCTTACAGGCTTTTCCTACCAAACAAGGTTCACAAACAGGCAGACTTACATTAGCAAGATGTCCCAACGGGCCTTCTTTAGCTAGTCTAGTCATTCTATTTTGCTTTTGTGACCAATTCTAGCATGTCAATTAACAGAATTTAATGAGTTATCATCACAAGACACATATGAGCAAAAATCCAAATTTAGCGTAAAGAAACCATTGTAAAGAAAACCATGTAAATACAAGACTTTATTTACATAGAAATCCAACTAATTGCCATCAAAATGAAAACTAAAACCAAGTCCTAAGAACCAACTCCAAGGACATTGGACACCAGGCGCATAAAGCACGTCATGGCGAAGTAAGGTGCGCCCCAGACGCGTCTTGAGTTGATAAGAACCAACTCCAAGGACATCATCATGAGTTCCATTACCCAAGGTAACGTATTGCCTGCCAATCGGTATCTTTCTGTATTCCACAAACTCAACTCTTTCTATGGTTCTGTGGCGAGTTGTTTCCGAGTCTACAATCCAACCATAGAGAGAATTAGCAACGCATATATGTGAACAAACACATGTATTGAAAGAGTTAAGGAAAAGGTCTACGTTTTTTGCATTAGGGCATTCCCGAGCAAAATGACCTTGCTTCCCACAATTATAGCACTCAACTTTGGTTTTATCTTTGTTTCCAAAGCGCTTACCTCGACAGCGTTTCATCACATTACCTTGCTTAGGACCAAGGTTACCAGCTACACCACCATATCTTCCTTGTTTGTTGCGCTTAGGCTTGAATGCCTTCCGCTGCCCATCTTGAGCGACAAGGACAATGCTGAGATGCAACCCCAGGCGCTCTGCTTCAAGCTCAAGGTGGTGAGACATATCAGCAAAATTCTTGATATTATCATTGTGTGTAAGGACAAGTTTCATTTGCCTCCATGAATCGGGCAAAGAACGTATCACAGTTGTAACATGCTGCTCATCAGTAAGAATATTACCTGCAGCCTTCAAATCACGTATCATGGTTGACATAGCTTTGAGATGCTCAACCATTGAGTGTTTTGAATCGATAGCATATTGCTCAAATTTCAAAATTAGAGCATGCAACGTAGTTGCAGATGTGGTCCCATAGGTAGTTTTCAGTTGATTCCACATATCATGAGCAGTGGGGCTTACCTAAACTCCCCAATGAGATCATTGTGCATGCTGCTAAGCATAGTATAGCGCGCACCGATCTCTTTTGACCCATTTCTCATAGTTTTTCATGTCACGACAATGTTGGGTAGTAGTCCCTTCTTCAGGACAGATCATAAGCGTGGTCAAAGTATCTGAGACTTCTTGTTCATTAAGCAAGTATTGAATTTTTCGGTGCTACATATCGTAATTGGACCCATCCAATTTTTCTCCTTTGGTGGGGTTAGCAACAACATTCTTATAGGCCATTTCACTGATGGTATTGCACAGGGTTTGACATTAGCACACATTTTTTAATTTTAAATTTTATTTCTGTAAAAATATATGTATTATTGATTATTGATTACAAGATTGTTGTGTTACAATTCCTATACAATCTATATATAGAAGAAAATGTGGTAGTAGGTGTAGTGGAGGTGATAGTGGGTTAGGTGAAGTGGAGTGTGTGGTGAAGTGGAGGTAGGTGAAGTGGAGTGTGTAGTGGAGTAGGTGAAGGTAAAGATGGGAAATTCTAACAATTTCCAATAACACAATTGGCATACAATATTTCCACTTACATAGAGAAATCGAAAATTTCGCTAAGCTCATAATCATCTCCCTCTACATGACTTAAAATATAGCGCCCAATTAATTTTTGAATAAAATTATATAAGAGGTGAAACCATTTCTTAAATCCATAACATGAAACTATGCATAATATGTGACGCCTCAAATTCTACTAAAATATTGAAATCAAGGTAACCTCACTACAAAGTGTTTTTGGTCAATAACTAAGTAAGATCCCATAGTAAAACTATCTTTTTGACAGATCTTAAGAGATGTTAATATAAGGTCTCATAAGTAACGCAGAGATAAAACATCCCATCAACTTTTCTTTGCTTTAAGCAAAGTAGTGATTGAAGAGGGATAATAAACAAAGTTACAATATTAAAAGGAGTCACCAAATTATACACAATAATTAATAAGACAGGAAAAAATAACTTTCCAAAATTTCCTCCAAAAACAACAATTTGGACCAAAAAACTTTGAAAAATCGTAACTTTTTCGATATAACTCTGATTAAAGCCCATTTTATATGGATGGAAAGATCATGAAGAGTACTTTCAAAATATGTAAATTTCAGTTCCAATAAATGAAAATTTTGATACAAAATTTTGAGATAAGAAAACTGCTCTTATGGAGTTTTCCAAAAGCTCTCAATATGCCATGATATTCAACTAATCTATGCCATGCAAATCATATGAGGCGAAAACAAGCAATATAGCTCTGATACCAATGAAGAAAAAATATACGGGTAATCATATTACCTAATGTGGAAATGGTTTGGATCGGATGCTTGAATTATAAGCCTTGTTTGAAAAACTCCATCCATACTCCAAATTCCTAGGCTTTCAAGATTGTAGCCTCAAGATAGATGAATAGAGATAGAACTTATTGTTTTTGGTGTGTCTACACAATGTTAAGCATGAGCCCTTCTATAGGCATAAATGGCAAACCATGTGTTCCATGTGGTTAGGCCACACCATGTGTCCCTGATGTAGGACAAATAGGGATTACTTTCCTACAAGTGGTGAGCCCAGTTTAAGTATACTAGTAGCAGCAACAACAATAGACATATAGGGCTGGATTTGGTGGAATTTTGTTGCTGCAAAAGTATTTAAAAAATAGGAGTTTAAGGGTTTGTAAAAAAGGTAGGGTTTTGGGAATGAAAACACTAGTATTTAAGGACAGTTGGATGGTTGTTCTAAGCACTGTGAACAGTGACGTGAACATAACCTTGCTGGATAGAAGAAGAAGAAGAAGAAGAAGAAGAAGAAGAAGAGAGAGAGAGAGAAAGAGAGAGAGAGAGAGAGAGAGAGAAGTGTTTCACCCTCGCAAGGGATAAGCCAATCACACAAACACAATCTCAAATTTTCATAATATTAACTCTGCTATTGAATCATTGAGATTACACATATATTTATAGGCTAAAGACTCATAATTCTATAAGGGCTATTTTTCAAATTTAGAAACTAAAAATATTTAGCAACTACTAATATTTTAGACCAACTATGACTTCCAATTCTACTTCAATCATAATAGGAAACTTTAATGACTTCTAATTCTACTTCAATATCAAAATAGAAAACTTGGACTTTTGACTACTAAGATTATTTTAGACATAATAAAACCTATGTATAATAATGGGTTTACACCATGTGTATTTTAGACATAATAAAACTTGGATGGACCATGTGTACCATATGGCCTTCAAGATTATTCCACACCATGTGTACCATGAGGTCACACCATGTGTATTTACTCCATGGTTTCCGACATGTTAAATTATGGGTTTTATTCAAAACTGAAGGAAAGTTTATTAATCAACTCAACTAGTTTTTTTAGTTTAGCATTCTGAAGAATTAATTGATTGAGCCGCTGACCAGAGTTCTATGACAACTTCTTTGAATTTTGAAAACTAGTTGTAAGTGTATCATATATCACATTATATCACAAGACTTGTGATAAGAGAAGGAGAGTGATGTCAATTATTCAAGAATCAAAGTCGATTTTCTTCTTTATGAAAAGAATATATGGCTACATTAAAAACAGTTCCCTTTTGGATATTTCTAACCGATTATACCTTTTTTTTGCCAAACAAGCCTTTAGTTGTTTTCAATCCTTTGAATTCATAGATGTTGGAAATGAAATTAAATTCAACTCAAACTCAAAAACCCTAAATCTAAATGGACTTGGTTATGCATGTCATTATCAATGGAATTATGTCTCATCATCATTTTCCTGTCTTTTGAGATTGTTTAGTTTTATGATGAAGCTTTAAGTTTTCTGATATGTGATCATTTATGTGATCATTAGAGAAAGATGTAAAGGCACCGAATTTACTTAAAAAAGAGAAGGAACACGCTGAGAAATCACATCACCATCATCACAAGGAAACTCACGGGACAAGCGATGACATTGATGAGGACACGCCAATAGATGAAGTCAAAGGACCAAATGTGTTTGAACGAATAAAGGAAGAGATCGAGGCTGTGGTTCAGGAAATTCTCCCTAAGAAATAATCCAACCTTCTGTCATAACTCGTTCTTGGACGAGGCATTCGTTGTAATAAGGTTTGAGAGAGCTGGTTTTCCTTTGGATTGCATAGGAAGATGGTAACCAAAGACTTTTTTTCTTCTGATATTTGCAATAACTAGTTGCATTATGAAATTGAAATGGAGTATGATGTAAGTTGTTGTTTCATCAATTCTGCTCTCTATAGATTACAGTCGTGTTCATCCTTCTCTTTTACATTGCCTAATTAACACATTTTGACATGGATTTTGTTCGTGATGTTCAATCTTTTTTTAGGTTGAATCATCCAGCTATTGCTAGTTCCAGATGCTAATATATGTTTTTATCCCTCTTTTTACCGTTGAAAGCAGTAAATAAGGTGAACACTAGGATCAAACCCTGTTTTTTTCTATTATATGGGAGGACCTAAGCCAGGGTTTGAATTGAACATTGTTATATTTTGTTGGAGACATTGAGATGAATTAATCTTGCTTCTGGGAGCATGTGAAATCTTCAACTGAAACTTTGTTTGGATGGACTGGACAAGGAGGGCTGCAATACAATGGACTCTTAGTCCAGAGATATCCCTAGACTATTTGGCTGAAAATGATATGTATTTGACTATTAATCCAACTTTCACTTTTCTAACCAAACATGGGACTAGTAAATCTATTGGACATGGAGTCCAATCGCATGCCTCAATCCCATAAAACAAATAATCCTTTATAGTATAATTAGCAGTAAAATATTTCATGAGTTGGCCTTTTTTCGTAGTCTTGGTCTCAAATGTGAACGGGCTTCATTATGGTGGCGATTTAGATGATGGATTTGGGCTGTTAGTTGCATCTGAATTCTTCCAACCTTTATTGTATATACTTGGCAGTTACAGATTTCATGAATTGGCTTCTTTTTTTCCCAGTTGATATGGTGAACAGGCCTTATTATGGACTGCAATGTAGACGATGGAATTATGGCTTATAGTTTCTATCAAGAACTAGATGTACCTCTTCACTATCCACAGGTAATCCTCTGGATAACTTCGTACAATATGGCAGCTTCCTCATTCTGAATTTGAATTTGAATTTTATGTTTCGGTTGCTACCCTACCCTACTACCCATGTGTGCTTAGAAACATGATGCAGAGCTTATTCTATTATGATTAGCTTTCAAGAAGCATGAAAGCAGAGTGGTGAAAAATGAGTCAAGGGTGGTGTTTTCTGACTCATCGCATGTTTTTTTATTGATTCATTTTGTGTTAATTTGAATCAATTTCTCACACTCTTTTAGGGACTATTTAAGGCCTGAGCTTGGTAAGCTTGTTGCAAGTTTGTTGTTAAGGAGCATGAGATATTTAGGTTTTGTCTTCAACATCCCCATCTCCAAAAGTCCTTCAAATATGTGTTTTAAATGCGAAGAGATGCCAGGATCTTGAAACAATTTTTTTTTCTTTTTTTCTTTTCCAAACCCCCCCTTTTGAGGCACAAAGCATGCTTCTACGAGGGCTACACACACATATGGATTGATTTTTTTAATTTTTTTTGGCAAAATGAGTTATAGAAACTATGAGTATCCCAGAAAGGTGATTGTCTACTTTCGTAGCCGAAGTATAATGAGAGCCAAATAAACAATGTCAATATTTATACTACTTTAGAAGGTTGGGATAGGTTTCATATTTCATAAAATTTGAAAAACCTCACATATGTATGTTGTTTTGTTGTGCATGGTGTAAGGCTGTTCATCAAGTCTCTGTCCCTGCAACATTATCTATCCCCTAACATTAGTTATGTGGAGGAAAGTAAAAACAGTGATCATGGGCTTATAAAAGGCAAATTTTACCTAGAACCTCCTAGGCCCTACATGTTTACTTTTTTCTTGTTGGAAAGTATGGCCTCCTCAAACCCATGAAAAATGTGGCCTCCAAATATGTTAATAAATTGTTGACACTAATGAAATTTTAGTATTGTTATGATAATTACATTTTAAAATTTATTTATCATTTTATTTGTTATAATTGTATTAGTAATAGATATGATTAATAAGACAATTATGTTATGTTCGGTTCGTTGGAATAAAATGTATTGGAATGGTCATTCCATAAAAATGTTCATTATCATATTTTATTCACTAAAAAAAGGATGAAAAGAATTGCAAATAAAACATTTTTCATTATTATAAAAGAATTATCATTTTATAAGGAGATTAAGGAATAACTATTATATTTTAATTTATATTTATTTCAGTAAGCAAAACACTATCTTAGAATCTATTCAATCAATATAATAGTGACTAATGGAATGATAAATAATTTTTTATATACAGATGTGATTCTCGTAATATTAGTTTAAAAACTTAGGTCAAGTTTGGCAACTTAAAAATAATCTATCTTTTTATCTTTTTTTCATCACATCACCTCTCTATTTTTTTGCACATCTTTTAATAAAAAGACAAAAGTGTACTTATTTAGGTCATTCCAAGCAACCCCTTTCTACCAATATGCTCCCATCATAATGTTGGTAATGTACGTCGGATGATACCAATATTTGCGTCGATTGTACAAATGTCTATAAAAACACCACGATCAATGAAATTCTTTTTTATTTTTTTATTTCATGCTTTTGCTATCTTTGCCATGCATGAAATAATAGAACTTTGTTGTCAATTTTTAACACATATATGGCTCCCTTCTAGTCATAATTTCTGCATCCGCTACTGCATCCATCCCCCCACAAATTAGGTTGAAAGTCTTTTGGCAAAGGAATGAAAGTTGGGAATGAGGGTGGCTGCTGTGCAGGGGCACAACAACTAGTGTTGTGCGGTCATATATGGAGCTGACTTAACCCTTAAGACATCAAAGCCAATACATTAGGCCACAGATATTACTATGGCTCCAAATTTTTGAAAATTATAATTAAGGCCCATATAATTTTATAATTCTTTTGTTAAAAAATGCTTCACCCATTAAGGAATAGGGAGATTGACCAATAAGTTTCATATTTTGGACTTGTGATTCATATGGTCTCATATTTTTTTCTTGTCATTTATTTAGTCATTTTGGATGTGTAGTGACTCATTTGCCCGTCACATTGGAGTTATATTTAGGGAGTTACATTGGAGTGTTACATTTGAGAAAAACACGATGTAGTTTTTTAGTATGTTACGTTTTTGGAGTACTATATTAAAGTGTTACGTTTAGAAAAAGTACACTAAGGAATCTTTTAGTAAACTAAGGGTTGTTTTTAGTGTGTTAGTGTGTTAAGTATGTGATTGTTCATGTTTGTGAAAAGTATACCAAGGGATTTTTTAGTGTGTTACATTAGAGCGTTGGAGTATTATATTTAGGAAAAGTACAATTAGTTTTTTTGAAGTGTTACCTTGGAGTATACTTTAAAGTGTTAAATTTGAGAAAAGTACACTAGGGAATTTTTTAGTGATGGAGTGTTACATTTAATAAAAATATACTAATAATTTTTTTAGTTCGTTATGTTGGAGTGTTACGTTAGGAAAAAATATACTATGAAATTTTTTTAGAGTGTTACGTTTGAGTATTACATTAAAGTGACAGAAACGTGATTCAAAAATTGGATCCAACTTTCTTAAGATGACTTCCCCAATAAGAAAGGTAGAAACGTCCACAAAATCATATAAAATTTAAAATAGGATATCATGGTAAGATTGTCAAAGTAAACAAGACCCATTATTGTAATATTATTGGGGAAGTTTGAGTAATTGATTTAATTGGTATATTCTACTCAATATCTTCTACTTAAAATAGGATATCATGGTAAGATTGTCAAAGTAAACAAGACCGATGTCCAAACAATTTTATTTTTTGCAAGTATATTCTACTCAATATCTTCTAAAATATGAATAATTTAAATTATCAAAATGGATCTCAAAATACAATAATGATTGTTGTATCCCCGCATAGCAACCACCCTATCTCTAGTGAGATTGATCGTTTTCTTTGTTGTTGAGGGTCCACTTATGAAAACAACAATATTATAAGATTGATTTATTTTGATGTAAAATATTAATATTTTTTAAAATTATTTTATTTATTTTTTAATGTTTAGTTAATTAAAAAGTAAGAAAAATATTTTTATGTAAAATATTTTACATCATAAATCATAAAATAATTTACATATAAAAATTTTATAATTTTTTTTTGGGACATTTATATACAAGTCTTATTTTGTGAATTTATAATCCATTAGGTCCCAGATAAAATCATTTGCTCCTTCAAGTCTCATTCATTTTTAATAAACCAATTTACCCTTCCAAACCTGAAATTGGGAATCAGATGGTCGTCTTCCAGCCATCGCCTCATCTGCCTCAGTCCCTCTCCTCTCACCTCTGATCACTTCCCTTTCGTCTAGTGCGTCGTCGACTGCAGATTTAGATTCTACAATCACAACACAGAGCAAGCCACGATGTGGTGAATTCATTTTGTTTGATTTAGTTGTGATTCCAGGTTTGTGGCCAATTCTTGCCTGTAATAATTCCATTCAAATGCTGTAGCAAATGAATCGATTTTTGATAGTCTCTCTTCTCCTTCACACTTCAGTAAAAAGATAATAACCCGTAAATTCCATTGCTTGCGTCTTGAGTTGAACCACAGAGAGATTAGGAAGAGAATGAGAACAATCGCAGCTTCGAAGACGAATTTTGAAGGGTCAAATTGTTGTTGTTGTTGCATCTTGAGGTGAACCCGTAAATTCCATTGCTTGAACCTATAAGAAAGTTGAATATTCAACCATAGATCTTGAAATCCATGGAGATTTCCGATTCTTGCTTTCTCTCTCTAAAAATGCAAACTTTCTCTCTCTTTATCTATCTATGTATCTATGTGTTAATTCTTTGGTAAATTGAATATTCAACCATAGATCTTGAAATGCATAGGGATTTCTAATTCTTGCTCTCTCAAAAAATACAAAACCTTCTCTCTTTGTATCTATCTATGTATGCATATGTGTTGATTCTTTGGTAAATTTCTCTCTCTTTGCTCTGTATGTTCTTTATAGTCTACTGTTGTTTAACATTTGACTCTTTGGTCTATATTTATTACTATATTTTTGGTGGAATGTGAACTGTGCATTCAAGGGTACGTCTGGTTGCCGTCGGGACTGATCGCCGATGAGGGTGGGTTCAGGCTAAAGAAATTGAGAATATTCTCAGTTTATAATATTCTCAATTTTAATCATGAAAAAAAACTCAATTCAGCAATCTAGTGTGTCAGATTCGCAAAATTATCTTTCTTTTGAAT